AAAAAAAAAAAAAAAAAAAAAAATCTACCACACTTCATAACTGAGTCCTCACTTCATGTTGTTGATAGGTTCTTGGAAACTGTGACTTTTAAGTGACACGATGTACAGCAGGTCCCCAACTAATGTATTCTGTTCAACATCATTTCACTATAATGTTGATGAGGAAGACAATTGGTTTCATTATATGTCATTTTGCATAAAGTTGCAGTTTCTAAGAACTTACTGACTACATTAAGTGAGGACTTACTGTATACCTTTTTGTGGAGTTTTATCTTTCCTTCACCTACTTTTGTTCCTAGGAGTGTGATAACAGCTCCCAAAAGCACTTCTAGAGTTGTCTCAGTTATCCTTGAAAATTCTTGCATTTGTGGTTTATTTTTGTGCAGGACAAAGTAGAATTTTTATATTGGCAAGCTGCTTTTTCTTAAGTATTCTGAGAAGACGGTGGAACATTCTGAGAGTCTCCAGAAAGTGGTTATGTCTCCATAGCTCAGCATATGGTGGTTTTTGATGGTAAAAGGATTAAGGAAACATTTTCTTGGCAAACAGTAGCACCAACAGAAAGTTTGATTTCAAAGAATCTCTGGAAATCAGCTTGCTGTTCCTTAACACTTTACTGTAGCTGCCAAGTAAACAGCTGCTGATCAGGTCCCCGGATATGTAAATAATGTTCTTGTGTTGTGTTTATGTTTGCTACCAAAGAGAACTAGCTTGACTTAATTTAAAACCTATTATAGGAAGTATTAGCACAATACAGATCTCCGGGTAACAAAGAGCCTGCCCCAGATAAAAACAGTCTTAATGGTAGTGGTGATCTGTGCAACAGAGTTCTGGTGGAACCTCAAATGAAAAGGGGACCTGGGATTCTCCTTGTCATGCTGCCTGACCTTTCCCGTGTGCTGTGTTGGACATATGGCTGTACGTGTGCAGTGTGTTTCTTTTACAACCTTTATTGAATGCTAATTGTTACGAGATTGTTAAAGTAACAATTTTAGAGTGCTTTGCTCCACAGTGAAATGATATACCCACCTCAGCCCTTGAGCAATTTGTGTTATTTTTAATCACTCAATTAGATTAAATTCTGCCCCCATGGATTGTTTCTTAATTCAATAAGAAAAATATTATATTATCTTTCAAAACTATCCCTTAAACAGTGGGTATGACCCATATTTTTCTTTTTTTCTTTTTTTTTTTCTTTTTTGCTGAGATGGAGTCTTACTCTGTCACCCAGGCTGGAGCGTAGTGGTGTGATCTCAGCTCACTGCAACCTCTGCCTCCTGGGTTCAAGTGATTCTCCTGCCTCAGCCTCCTGAGTAGCTGGGATTACAGATGCACACCACCATGCCCAGCTAATTTTTGTATTTTCAGTAGAGATGGGGTCTCACCATGTTGGCCAGGCTGGTCTTGAGCTCCTGATCTCAGGTGATCCGCCCACCTTGGCTTCCCGGAGTGCTAGGATTACAGGTGTGATCCACTGTGCCCAGCCGACCCATATTTTTCTAATTGTCTAATGAGCCTAGAGGGTCGGGATAACTCTGAGAACAACAAAGTGCATGTTCATGTTCATCACGGACTCACAGCTGGACTGGAGGAGTGATGCTCCCTTACCGTACCACGGGCTGTGAACCGTGCACTCTTTTGCTCTGATATAGAATTCAGTTGATGGGTGAAATACCCACAGGCATATTTTTGGACATGAATATTTTGTTGGGGAAGAGTTCCCAGGTCCCTTCTAGACGTAGCCCTAGATTCGGGACGCCCCACAAAATCTATTGCTTCCCCATATTCTGGCCCCCAACCTGGCCCAGCCCTTCTGTCACATGGGGCCAGTCAGCCACTTTTCCCAGTGTCCTTTCTCTTCAGGAATTTGTGCTTTGGAGAGACAAGAAATGATGCCAACTCAGGGAGTCTGATTGCTCTTAATGGGGCTTAACGGGGATTACAAGATTGTGGTCTTATGAGGTCTTCCCCCATGATTGCTGTTTTTTAAAATTAAAGACAGGGCCAGGTGCGGTGGCTCACGCCTGTAATCCCAGCCCTTTGGGAGGCTGAGGCAGGCAGATTGTTTGAGGTCAGGAGTTGGAGACCAGCCTAACCAACATGGTGAAACCCCATCTCTGCTAAAAATACAAAAAAAAAAAAAAAAAAAAAATTAGCCAGACATGATGGTGCATGCCTGTAGTCCCAGCTACTCGGGAGGGTGAGGCAGGAGAATCGCTTGAACTCGGGAGGTGGAGGTTGCAGTGATCCACAATGTGCCATCACACTCTAGCCTGGGCGACAGATCGAGACTCTGTCTCAGGGAAAAAAAATAAAGACAGAAGAATCATGTTCTGATGCCCTTTTATAGCATCTTTAGTCTTAGCTCATACCCCTAACCACTGGGGATGCAAAGACATTTTTATTAGACAGTTTAAAAGTTTAATATTTATTTTAAACTTTCTAATAAAATCTATAAATATCATTAAACTTTTAAATTTTTATATTTTGAGCTTTGTAATAAAATATATATATCAGTAAACTTAAATTTCTATATTTTAAACTTTCTAATAAAATATACATGTGTGTGTTTATATATATATTTAAAAAATTATATATACACTCCCCCTGTGTTTTGCAGGGAGAGGGTATTTATTTATTGAAGAGATTTTTGAGTTCCCGTGACATTCCAGGTGCTGTTACGAAAAGTATCGAGTCATTGGAGTGCCATGTAAAATTTGCAATGGAGGAAAGTCATCCAGATGAATATTTAGGTTCTGAATGTGAAGAATGTGCTTTTTCCAATGTTGATTGTGTTCATTTATTGGTTTATCATAAAAGGTGCTACTCAGGAATAGCCAAATGGAGAGGTGATTGGGCGAAGTATGGGGCAGGGGTGTGTGGAGTTTCTGCGCCCATGCTGGCCGTGCCACACCCCCCAGCACCCCCACGTGCTCGCCAACCCAGAGGCAGTGTGTGTCCACTGTTACGTTGCTTGGATACATTGTTTCTTCCTCTTCCCATATTTTGCCCTCCCCCCTGGCCCCCGACATTCCTTTGTACCTGGAAGGCATTAGCCATGGCTTCCTATCAGCCCTTGCCAGGTACCTCTGTCTGGGGCCCCACAACCCCCCAGGGCTGCTTCCCAAACCTGCTGGGACACAGAGGAAGGAGGCAAGGCTGGTGAGGAAAGTGCTGCCTGAGTTGCATCAGATCAGATCCCACAGACGCTAAGGTGGTGCCACCGAGTTAACTTTGAGCAGATCACTGTGGGAGAGCCTGCCTCTGTCTACTTCACCGGCACTGTGAGGTGCTGCTGCTTCTGCATCTGCTTGCCGTTCTTTTAAATTTTCATTCTTTTTTTTTTTTTTTTTTTGAGACGGAGTCTCCCTCTGTCACCCAGGCTGGAGTGCAGTGGCGCGATCTCGGCTCTCTGCAACCTCCACCTCCCGGGTTCAAGTGATTCTCCTGCCTCTGCCTCCTGAGTAGCTGGGATTACGAGCACCTGCCACCAGCCGGGCTAATATTTTTGTATTTTTAGTAGAGATGAGATTTCAGCAGGTTGACCAGGCTGGTTTCAAACTCCTGACCTCAAGTGATCCACCCGCCTCGGCCTCCCAAACTGCTAGGATTACATTCATGAGCCACTGTGCCTGGTCTGCTTGCCTTTTTCAAAAGAGGTTTTTACAGCAGTGAAATGCTTGAAAGATTAGGAAAACTAGGGTAAGGAGTGTTCAGAATATAGCTTTATCCTTATTTTCGGATGACAAAGCCAACAGCTCAGGGGATGGATGATTACCAGTTTGTCACTCAGAGTTCCCAAGAGGCAAGGGCACCCCATGCCATGCGGGCCAGATGAGGACCTGCAGGGTCAGTCAGGAGGCAGAGGGAGCGAGCGGAAGATGTGGTCAGGAGCCTTTCTTGGGGTTTCTGAGGGAAGGAACTGGGGAGGCCGGGCTCTGGGGTGCACTCGAAGCCAAGATGTCTGCTCCCCACCTTGAGATGATTAGGACGGGAATGGTGGCCCAGGGTATAAGAGCCTCAGAGAGGAGGTGACAGTGTGTGGGGACTCTATAAAAGGCACATTTCCTGGCAAGTCTTTTACTATCTCCAGGCACTGACCAGCGTGGGTGGGGCAGTCTCCCCATGGACCGTAAAGCCCCAGGTGTCAAAACATCAGGATAAAAAAAAACATGTGTAATAGGAGGAGGATAAAGAGCAGCCGCTGGAAATCCGGGTGTCTGCAGTCTACACTCCGTCATCCTGTAACTCATCAGGCTTCTCCCCACTCCACCCCAACACATAAATACGTAGATCTGACTGCCTGTGGTCTCCCTGACTGTCCTCCCCTACCTTTCCCTCTTCCTGCCACCCACTCTCTGCTCAGTCCTGCAAAAAGGCACCTCGGAGTCACGGAGGAAGGGAGGGAAATTGTGGGGAGAGAGTCACGTGGGCGTTCCACCCCGATGACCTGTGTTTAAACCCTGCCAGCCAAGACAGACACGGCTTTCAAGGCGTTCTTGGATGCCCAGAACCCGAAGCAGCAGCACTCATCCACGCTCGAGTCGTACCTCATCAAGCCCATCCAGAGGATCCTCAAGTACCCACTTCTGCTCAGGGAGCTGTTCGCCCTGACCGATGCCGAGAGCGAGGAGCACTACCACCTGGACGGTAGGCCTCGGCCCGGGACCCCCGCAGACCTGAGTCTCCGTGAGGGTCTCTAAATAGCTTCTCATTTCTCGGCCTGTTTTCTTCCAGTGGCCATCAAGACCATGAACAAGGTTGCCAGTCACATCAATGAGATGCAGAAAATCCATGAAGAGTTTGGGGCTGTGTTTGACCAGCTGATCGCTGAACAGACTGGTGAGAAAAAAGAGGTGAGGGTCCCCATCTTCTCGGGACACATCTGTCAGGAAAGCCGAGTTTGAGTTTGCCTTTTTTTTTTTTTTCTTTTTTTAAAAAAGGTGTTCCTTATAAGTAAAACAGTTAGGATGCTGTTGTTTTTCTTAGTGGAACATCTGTGCTTTATCCGAGGCTGCAATGTGAATTTTCTTCCTCAGCTGGACTGTTTCTTCCTGTAGGAAATCTTTTCCTGATGTTCAGCTCCTCACCCTGGGGATCTCTGGCTTTATTCTGTGTTAAGTGTGAAAGTGAACTTCCATTACCACAATCTGGGCTGTTTCTAGAAGTGTCATTAAAGCCCAGGGCTCTACCTCCAGAGATTAGAATGACACAGGCACATAGTGGGTGCTCAATAAATAGTTGTCAAAGGAATGAAAATTTCAGATGACTCTGAATCGGATCTACCCAAAAACCTACTTAGAAGAGCAGTGGCAGAAACAGATACACCTGAGAAAGACTGAAAGTGAGCTAAAAGTTGTGGCTGAGTCATTAAGAAGCTCTTACCTGAATAAAAGTTTGTTGCCAACACAGAGAAGTGGTAGATGTTTGAGATGCATGGAGAAGTTAATTGCTCTGATCTGATGAGTTATACAGTACATGTATCAAAGCATCGCTGTGTACCCCTGAATACATACAATTATTATTTTTCAATTAAAAAAGCCAGTAATACTTAGAGGAATTGTAGGGATATGATATATGTTAACATTCATCAATGCCTCTGTACGCTCAGATTCAACTAGAATATTAGACTCAGTTTTTCTTTCCACCTTAAAAAAGAGAAAATGTGGGAAGGAACCTAGAGGAAAAACACTCTTGCTGTGACTAGCAGCAGGGTTAAAAGCCGTGTGGGTGGGACGAAGTTTGGTTGTTTAGTGTAGACTAGAGAAAGCACCTTATCTCCAGAGATATTAAAGGCCATTATCCAGGCTCATTTTTTTTGTCCTTAATGAAACAAAACAAGTTTTCAGGCTGTTAAAGGATAATTTTCTGAAAGAGGTAAAATGATGATATCTCATAATTTATTTTACTCATAAGATGTGGGGGACCCAGGCAGGTGTTGTAAAAGTTCATTGGAAAAGTCACAATTACACAGGTTTATATATGGAGTGAAGAAATGTTGAGATGAATTGTAAATGAGACAAACTGGTTTTTCCACAGCTGGAGGAAATCAACTAGGCCAGTGTCAGACTGGACAGAATTTACACATCTCTGTTACCTACACCTTACAAAGAGTTGCACAGGCTCTCAAAGACAGTGTACAGTCAGAATCTGATAGCCCAGGAAGGTCTGCTGTAGAGGATGTGTAGTTTTCAACTGAAACACAATTTTGTTTTTACATAACAAGCAGAGCATGAGAATGTTCTCAGACTATTTGGCAGATAATTTAATCTATCAGAGTATAGAAAAGATGAAGGTTGCCACCCTGGACTGAGTTCTCACTTTCTTATAAAACTTTATAAGAAGAAAAAAATTATGCTTATTAAAAAAAGAGAGCAAAATACAGAAAAAGGCAAGAAGAAAACTATGGTTTCAAGACATAGAACTTAACCATATTTTGGTGTTGATTTTGATTGTTTTTAATATCTATGTATATGTTTAGTTATATCTTGAAGGTAATTTTATACCTTGATTTTATGTTGATCAGAGAATTTTAATGCTTTTTTTAATTGACTAATATGAATAATACTGTAAACTTTTTTTATTATAAGAAGTCCTCCTCTCCTTTGGTTTATTTCATTCTAACAGAAGCGCATTTTACTGGTAAAGGCCATGGAAGTGAACATCTTCATTACATCATATTATATTTTCTTTATATGCCAAATTAATTATTGGATTTTAATGACCTTAGGAGCAAATGACCATGATGCTAAAGATTAGAAGGCGAGATGGATAGTGGGTTACAAAGAATTTAGGAAAAAAAGATGATTATGATCAGAAGTCAGAGACTATTAAAGGGAATGTGGCTTCAGTGAAACTGGAAGTCCTTTAAAATGAAATTCTGACATGTAAGAAATCTTTCCAGTGAAGAACAAAGCCATATAGTGCTATACAAAGTATTTTTTGTGGGCTGAGATTGTAAAAAGAAATATGCAAAAGATGGAAGGAGGGACACTGGCTGAGTACCAGGACTGAAGAGGAGGAAAATCCTACTTTTATCAGGAGGTGCAAAGCCCAAGAGAATTTCTGGCTTGGAAAAGATGCCAAAGAGAGCAAGAGAAGATATTGTTGTGGCAGGATAAGACAAACGAGCAGGAAATAGACCCCCAGTGGGAATCAATTACTGAAAGGCCGTTGGTCACTCAAGTCTCAGGCCCCATTTCATCTCTCTTTCTTCCATTGAGGAGGACGGCCTTTAAACTGGGAAGGATGCAGCAGCCTCAGTGCCCTAGGGAGAATGAGTCTTGGGAAATAGGATAGTCTATGCCAAGATCAATGACAATTCTACTCCACTGCTCTCAGCAGTATATTGGAAGAATTACGGATACTGAGGCAGGTGATTGTGGAGGTACCCAAATTATATTCAGATTTTCACAAAAGCAATTCCTGAACTCCTGATCCTTGTGGTTCCCTCTTAGTGGCAATATGAGTTAACAGCCTAGAATGGATTGATGAAGTTTGTAAACAGGAATAGGAACATTTATCAGTATCTGCTGGTAACAGCAGGTTTATTGTGAAACGTTAACATTCTAGGAACGCAGGGTACCTGAATCCTGTCTTCAGCCAACATTCCTTAAGATATCTCTGAAGGCAAGTAGGTTCATAGAGAACAAAGCTGGCAAAGAAACAGCTTTTTGATGAAACTGGGTCTTCAACCTCATACCTCCATGTTAAACTCTGGGGAGTTGGGCTAAGGAATCCCTTTGGCTTAACTAGGAGGAAGAAGAATGCAAGAGGGCATTTCCCCTTAAAAGAAGTCCTTAAAAATGCTGGCTCAGTAGGGCATCCCAGTCTTTAGGAAGGTAGAGGCCTCCCAGCAGAACTCTCTCTTGGGGTTTGGGAGGAAGATTCAGAAGGGAACCAGGGGAAGCGCTGTGGCCAGAGGGAGCACCCTGACCCCCTATTCCACTTGCCATGGGAAGCTTGCCCAGAGGGAAACCTTGTGCACAGGCACAGCATCAGCCCATTTTAAGTTGTGTAACAAGTAACTTAAAATCTCAGTGGTTCTCTACAACAAATATTTATCTCTAATGTGGCTTTGTAGGTCAACCAAGGTTTGGTTTCTCTTGGTTAGCTCCAGTTCTGAAGGTTCTGGTGTGCTCCTTGTCTCTTCCTTCCAGGATCCAGGCTGAAGCAGCAATGGCTGTCTTGGGCAAGTCCTTCCCATGGCTGGAAGGTGGGCACTAAGTCAAATGCCTACACCCAAAGTCATCTGGGCAGTGATGTATGTACCCTGCCTAGTCTAGTGGGAGGTGCTGGAAAATCACATGGCAGAAGGTGCAGATAATGTAATTCTGTGGGAGGAAGTAGAGTTGGACAGTCTACCATGGTGGCCTTTAATCACTTTTAAAGATGTACTCCCAGGGACTGTGGTACCTGGGAATTTGACTTTTGTGTATAATTCCTCCTCTTCTGTGTGGGTCTTTGGGAGACAGGTAGTGGAGACGATGTCATTACCTTGGCTGATAATATCCTGGAAGTTTGGTTGATGAGTTACTTAATACCTATAGACAAAATAATATAGCTGCTTAAAAATTATTTTAACCCTTGGTTATACTAATGGTACTACAGCTCAGTAATAATGACAGTGATGATTATAATAATCCCAATCAAGGGAGGCAGTAATGCATTGTACTCCGTACTGATGGAGCCACATCTCAGCATGGTAGCCTGTTTTGGTGGCTCGAGAAGGGCCATCCCAACTGCACTGCGTTCAGTGGAGGGTTGCCAGGTTGCTACTATATAGGAAACTCAGCTCAGTTTGGAAGGAGGTCAGTGACTCCAGTGAGAAAAGCAGATGTGACTGTTGTGAGGCAGACATTGAACTTGCATCAGGCTCTCTGGATCATTGTGTCTAGATGGCTCTGCAACCAGCACTTGTCTGAGACAGTTTAACATGTGACCGCTGGGGGCAAGTGACTACACCTCATGGTCTGTTGGGGTTCCAGCACTCACGCTGCCCGTGCCAATAGAGGAATCTTCAAACTCTTCATTTGGCTTCTCTCTCCCTCATCTAAAGTGAAATAAAGTCATCTTTGAAATGGATTGGAAGAAGAAATAATTTGCTTACACTTCCAAAAAGTGGATACTCACTGGTGGAAATGTCTGCAGTTATCTGGGGGTGGATCTTTGTCGTAGACAACCATTAGCATCTCCTTGGGAAACTGTCTCTGTTTGAACACAAAACATCTCCAGTTTCGTAGATCAGTTTTAACAGGCTAACTGCATGTGAAGAGCCCCAGTTTGTACCTATTTGCCATCTTATTCTGAAATTCTAGTAGACGAACACGGCATAAAGAGGGGAAAAAAAAGACGAGCCTTTTCTCTCCCCTCTATTCCGTGTGTTTCTTTGGGAATAGAGAGGATTTATTTTTCAATGAGGAGATTTCATATGAGTTAAAGGATTTTCTTGTTAAAATTTCATTGTATTGTTCCTAGCTCAAACATGGCTAGAACATAATGATACTATTATTTCCCATTGGAAAGGTTAACTGGATATTGTATCTTCAGCCTGTTTTGATGGGATATTGTATCTTCAGCCTGTTTGGTGGTGGTTATTGAGACAGTCACAAATCGAAAGTGTTTTTTAAAAATGTAATCTGTCATTTTGGTGCTATTTCTTTTCTCAAAAACATGAAATTGACAAGTAAAAATTTTATATATTTATGATGTACAGCGTGATGTTTTGATATGTTACATTGTGGAATGGCTAAATCAAGCAGTTTAACTTACGCATTATCTCGTATATTTAAGGAAATGTTTTTAGGAGCAGTATTTTCTTGAAGTAAAATTAATACCAGTGTGCTGAATTTTCAGACGTCATGAAAATCTGAGGGTTAATAATACTGCCCAGTAAGCTTTGTCACATCTCTGGCTTTCAGGTTGCAGATCTGAGCATGGGGGACCTGCTTTTGCACACCACTGTGATCTGGCTGAACCCGCCGGCCTCGCTGGGCAAGTGGAAAAAGGAACCAGAGCTGGCAGCCTTTGGTGTGTATCAGAAAAGGATTTTACGGAGGGGGAAAAGTCTAGCTTATTTTTCAAAACAAGAACATTTCTTTTTCAAGACCCAGTTGATTAAAAATAAAGTTAATTGCAGTTACTTGAATGGGTCTTCCTGCCGTAGCCACCAACATCTCGCAAACACTAAATGAAACCTTCGAGTTAAATTACACTGTGTGGTCACTCAGCCACATGGGTGGGCGGAAGTGGCTGTGCCCGAGTCTATCCCAGACATAAACACACAGGCAGGAAAAGAATTTTTTTTCTTTTTCTTTTTTTTGGGGGGGGGGGGCTGCTGCTCTGAGTATCTTTTCAAAATAATGGGTTAATTATAAACCAAGGAAAAATAAAGTGAAAAATCAAGACAAAATGGCCTCTGTTTCTGAGACCCCCAAATCCTAGATCTTTTATTTTCTTCCTGACTTTGTTACTGTTTGGTCTTAAAACCAGGATTTAGGATGCTGGTTCTCAGCTGAGCTGTTGTGGCAAACTCTGGAGTGCCTGGATCAGCTGTGAGGTGCATCTCAATCGCATTGCCACTCAATGCTAGTGAAATTAGAGATGTTTGCGGATGATTTATTCTTTAATAAACCAGTTTAGATGGATGCAATTGCTGCAATTAGAGATCTCATGTGATTGTATTGTAATACGCTTTTTGAGAGAGAGAAAAAACATGGGTTAGCTTACTGGGAATTATGTATAATTTAGGAAACATGGCTTGTTGTTGCAATGGAAATGCTTATTGGCATATTGCTGTGTTGTTCATGAATATAAAACTATCAACACTCCATGCTTTTGTTTTAGGTTGTGTTTTGTCCTAGCCTCCTGCTAAAAGACTCATTGGTAGGAACATAATATAATGGAAATGTGGCTTATTCTCTTGCGTTATATTATTTGTGTGGGCTTGTGGGGAACGGAGGTTGCTTACTCCTTCTTAACTAAACTTTTTTTTTCCTCCATGATGTGAACAAAGTATCCCCAATCGGAATGTCCTAGTGATTTTAAAATCAAAGTATTTCATGCAAAGATTCATTGGACTTTCTATTTAGATCACTTAGCCTTCACTGAGAAGTTACTGATATTCCTAGAATTTGCAAAGAGCCCCTGTAGCTGTTGATGCCATTTCATTAAAAATAACAAAGGAGGCCAGGTGCGGTGGCTCACACCTGTAATCCCAGCACTTTGGGAGGCCAAGGCGGACGGATCACTTGAGGTCAGGAGTTCAAGACTAACCTGGCTAATATGGTAAAACCCCGTCCTTACTAAAAATCCAAAAATTAGCTGGATGTGGTGGCAGGCACCTGTAATCCCAGCTACTTGAGAGGCTGAGGCAGGAGAATCACTTGTACCCGGGAAGCAGAGGTTGTAGTGAGCTGAGATTGTGCCACTGGACTCCAGCAAGATTCTGTCTAAAACAAAACAAGACAAAACAAAATATATAAATGCAGAGAAAGCATGTGACTAAATAGGCCATTCAAAGGAATATTGGGGGTATTTTAACAAGTTGTTAGTTTTTGATGGGGTAGGTGTTTTGGGGGAGGGGGACAGTAGTATTTGCTTTCTTTTCAACATTACCACTTGTGTTTCTTCTATAGTGATTTCTTCTTGGAGGAGTCTGGGATCTCCCTGATGCTGCTTAATGGGTCATTCATGGGATGGAGGATATTGATATAAATGACCCACACCATGATGTAGGACTAGAGGTCAACATTTAGATTCGTTGTGGCTTTGCCCTCAATTTTACAGATTCACTGCAGTTAGAAATCAACAGATTTAGAATAAGAAAATAATTTAAGTAGGAGAAAATGGGTTGACAAACTCTTTTCTGTTTTTTTGTTTTTTTTTTTTTGGAGGGTGGGTGGTACGGAGTCTCGCTATGTCTCCAGGCTGGAGTGCAATGGTGCATTCTCAGGTCACTGCAACCTCTGCCTCCCGGGTTCAAGCAATTCGTCTGTCTCAGCCTCCCGAGTAGCTGGAACTATAGGTGTGCGCCATGGCGCCCAGCTAATTTTTGTATTTTTAATAGAGACGGAGTTTCACCATATTGAAGCATGATCTCAATCTCTTGACCTTGTGATCTGCCTGCCTCGGCCTCCCAAAGTGTTGGGATTACAGACATGAGCCACCGTGCCTGGCCCTCTTTTCTTTTAAAGGCTACATGGTACATTTTAGGCTTTGGGCCAGGAGGCCACATGCTTTTCCACTGGAGCCAGAAGCAGCCGTAGATAACGTGTAAATGAATGAGATGGCTGGATCCGCGGTTGGATCAGCAGCTGCACCACACAGGTGGCAGCAGTCCTGGGTCTGGCCTGAGGGCCCTTGTTTGCCAGCCCATGGTGTAAGTGATTCAGGAAAATGCTGGTTTTGAGGTTGGGGATTTAGGTGCCACTTTCTGCACAGGCTCAGATACTGGACTCTGCATTACTCTGTTCCCTGCCTCCTGGGCTGTTTATGAGAGGTCGGTGTGGGAGCTGCCTCAGCAAACTCAGCAGGGGCCGTAGTTCACAAGAGAAAAACTGAAGGCTCTGAGATACAAGACAAGTTTGTCATTACTCAGAATCCTCTCCAGAGTAAAAGGAAAGAGAAGGGGAAGGATTAAAACTGGGATTATGAACAAAGGCTGTAGTCATGATGAGCTTCTGTGGATTCCCAGTCGTTAAAGAGACAAGTTTGATGGTTTGGGTGTGATTTCAAGTAGTAAGGCAGAACTAGCAGAGAGGCTGAGCAAGGAGTTGAAATAAGGAGGAGTTGCTGTGAAGGAAGGATCACGGTTCCCCTCAGTCGGCAGATTTGGGGTTAAAATGTGGTTGTCATCTTGTTTTGGTTTAAACCTCTAACCTCAGGAAATAGTGCAGCTTTCTGCTGAAACCGAAGTCGACTTGCTGCCAACGAAGCACCTTGATGTTTCACTCACAGGCTGGCTCGTGTGTACCAAATGTTGGTGATCGTTGCCTTAAACAAAAAACACAAATAGAAATAGGCTTCTGCCTTGAAGGGTATTTGACATTCACGTTTTTGGGCGCAGAGTGGAAGCTTTAGGCTGGCAAAGGTAGCGTGAGTTTTGGAGATCATCAAGGCCGTGACTGAAGGGATTGGGTAACGCTGTGGAGTCACTTGAGGAACACTATCTCCGAGGGTTCGGGGAAGTTTAAGGGAGAAGCGGAGGTCCCGGTGCCAGGCTGACGCTCATTCTCTGGCCCTCCTGCTGTGATCCACGATGGTTAAGATTGAGGGACATGGGGGCAGTCATACCATTGAGCTGTGGTCCCAGTGGCAGGGTGGCGCTTCTGAGATGAGAGGCATTGGGGTAGAGCCCTTTCATTTCTAAGAGGACCTAGCTGTCCCAGCCTCTGTGATTTCTGAAGGCTTCATAGTGGGAATGAAGGGCCTTCTCAGGTTGCTTGTGCTTAGCTACTATGAAGAGCCTGCTGTGGCCGCTTCAGGTCAGTGTGAACCTTTGGAGGGAATCTGCCAGTCTGTGCTCTGGGAACCTGGAGGGGTAGGATGCTGTGAGGTGTGAAGAGCTATGGGCAGTCTAGACCTAGTGGCTGGAGTCAGTTTCTTTGCATCTCAGGGCTTATTTCCCTGCAGTGGAGATTAGCATGATCTTACACAAAGAGGAGACAAGACCGGCTTGCCCTACGTAGGATAGAAATTGAACCAGATACTTCCGGTTGGCCTCCAAAGGGCCTGTGAGCCTGGTGGCCCATCCCTGAGAATTCTCTGAGTGCTTGTTCCTTTTGTAATTCTGTGTCTGGTATACAAGGCTGTGCCTCCTTCAGCTGCTGTGTGACTGGGGTATTCCTTGGGGTCAGAGTATGAAGGGATAATGGAGACTATCTTAGTCCATTTGGGCTGCTATAACAAAATATCATAAACTGGCCAGCTTCCAAACAACAGATTTATTTCTCACAGTTGTGGAGGCTGGAAGTCCAAGATCCTGCTTTCTCATACTTCCTAGCTGTGGCTTCACATGGCGAAAGGGTCAAGGCATCTCTCTCAAGTCTCTTTTATAAGGACACTAATCCCATTCATGAGGACAGAGTCCTCACGGCCTGATCACTTCTCAAAGGCCCACCTCCTGAAACCACAAGGGTGATTGGTTTCAAGGTATGAATTTTGGGGAAACACAAACATGTGGACCATAGCAGAGACCCTGACACAGAGAACGAAGGACAAGCAGGAGTCGGTCACCCTTCCAGTCCTTCTGGATGCCAACTCTACTTCCCCTTCTAGGAAGAATCAGAATCACTGCATATTAAATGTGCTTGGCATTGCTTAACGAATTCTCTGGAAGATTATGCATAACTCCCTTGTATCTCCCCACCCCCGAAAGAATATAAGAATGAAACTACTACATGTTTACCACTCCTAGAGAGTTTACTCTGATTCAGTCATTCTGGAGGAAGTACAGTTGAATTCTATTTCATAAACTCATTTTTGTTTCTTCAGGTGAAACGATGAGTTATATTTCCTAAATTATCGCTGTCTATATGTGCACTATTACCTTAATCTGCATAAGTATAAATCATCTTCAGCAATTGCATTGTTATTGTGAAAGACATTTATATTATTCCTCCATCGACTGAATTAGTACAGTTTTGTTGAATATGTATCAGCTGAAGTTTTAACCTTGAAATGATAGCATACCTAACGTATTGTACCCAAAAGTGTTTTGAGGCATAGGTTATTTCCATTGATGTAGGCTTTCTGTGTTTATTTTGAACCTGGAAAATTGCGTGTCTCAATAGGCTTTTGATTTTCACTGATGTGATGAATGAATGGGAGGTGTGTGGGAGTCAGTTAACTGGGATCTCAACGTCCTCTGCATAACTGTAGTGTTTATTACCACAAGTTAGTGATGTCAAGAGGAAAACCCTACACATAACATGCCATAACTATCTTTATTTTATTTTTTCCAGTCTTCAAAACTGCTGTGGTCCTTGTGTATAAAGATGGTTCCAAACAGAAGAAGAAACTTGTAAGACTTCTTTTGTCACCTGATGGTTTGAAACTATTTCTCTATCTGCTTATCAGTTATGTCTGCATAATTCTACCATTTTGTCAGTATGAGCCTTTTTATGATCTTGTTTATTTCTTAAGCATTGCTAAGGATGCTTGAGATCACCCATCCTGCCCTCTTTTCAGGCAGGCTTATGTTTCGAGCACAAAAATGAATTGGTCTCATTTTTGTGAATTGGAACCAATTGGACTCAATTGCTGATTGGGTCTGCCATGGCCCAGAACCTTCCTAACGCTACTTTTCCCCTTCTCTGTTGCCCCTGTTCTTGTTTTGGGATCCCTTTCCTCCTCTTCCCTGTGTGTGTCTCTCTTCACTGCATTTGCTTAGCAAACTTATTTGCCCACCCTCCCCTCAACGTATTTATCACGCAGCCTCTCACTCCCTGCTGGATGAACAGGAGCTCGTGGGGGTGAAGATCCTTTGGGCACGCCTGGAGTTACTGCGTGAGAGTCTGTCGCTGGTTTAGCAAATGCAGGGAACTGGTCCGGGGCAGGTTAGATTCTTCTTACGCAGCTGACTCCTCCTCCCCTGCAGGTGGGATCCCACAGGCTTTCCATTTATGAGGACTGGGACCCCTGCAGATTTCGACACATGATCCCCACGGAAGCGCTGCAGGTTCGAGCTCTGGCGAGTGCAGGTAAACTCTCACCTGTGCTGGGTATTTCACACACTTATCTCTGGTGTGTGTAGGAATTACTTGTTTGAATCCACACTCTAGGTCTAACCCTTCTACTGTCTTTTTTTTTTTTTCCTTTTTTTTTCTATGCTTAACTCTCTTGTCTCTCAGTCTCTTTATGGCCTCTTATTTACCCAGTCATTGATTAAATATTGAATGAATGAATGAGTGAACCAAGTGAATGAATGAACTGAGTGAATGGATGTGTAATGTCTTCAAAATTCCTGGAAGAGATTCTAGTTATTCCATTCTGTACATCAATACTATAGCGACTGCCATCTGAGTACAGTGAGCCTGTGCTTCTCGAAACAATCCTTGAGACTGTGAGCAGACAAAGCCCAGGTAAACTACTCCCTTGCCTTTCAACGGAGAGATCCAAATATACCGCCCAAAGCACTAAAAAGCATTGACTACACGTTTTTTCCCTAAAGTATTACAAATCTTTATCTTTGGTATTAGTGTGAAGGCTTTTGAATGTTGATTCTTTTTTAAATTTATTTTAATTGTTTTAGAGACAGGATCTCATTCCGTTGCCCAGGCTGGAGAGCAGTGGTGCTGTCGTACCTCACTGTGGCCTCAAATTTCTAGGCTCAAGCTATCCTTTCCAAGTACCTGGGACTACAGGCGTGTGCCAACACACCCAGCTAGTTTTTTAAATATTTTGTAGAAGTGGAGTTTTGCTATTTTGCCCAAGCTGGTCTTGAACTCCTGGGCTCAAGCAAGCCTCCCGCCTTGGCCTCCCAAAGTGCTGGGATTACAGACGTGAGCTGCCACGCCCAGTCTGAAATGTTGGTTCTTTTTCTGTGATCCACATAGCCGTGAAGTAAGTTGTTGGGTAGCTGTGAGTATACTTGATAATATAATTAGACGATGCTTTAAACACATGAGTAGCAGGGTACTGACTAAGAAAAGTGATATTTTTGTGACTCAGAAGCTCCCCATCCTGGGCCTAATTTGAGGCCAAGTTCTCGAGAGGAGGGATGGGCTGTGTGGCTCTCCCAGGCGCACCCTGGAAAGAGCATCTCTGGGGAGTCAAGTGGACGCTCTAGCCACACCTGTTCCCTGTCCCACTTGGACAGCAGGTGCAGCTTTGGTAAAGAAAAGCCCCGGCGGTGGAGACCGGCAGGTGTGTGATCAAGTGAATTTCTGTGTGATGCTTTTGGCATCTAAAGTGAACATTAAGTTCTTACTATCCAATTTCTGTTGTGTAGCCTCTCCTTGTTTCCACTTGCCATAAGCAGTAAAACTGGATCTGATCCTCAGAAAACCAACTCACACTAGTCCAACATCATGAGGAGAACCTCTTGCCATATTGTGCCCACTTTGAGTTACTCTTCCAAATTAAAGGTGTTTCTCCCTTCACAGTTTTTCTGCCTTACAGGAGGAAATCTCCAATGCACAAACCACGTAGGGCAAATATATTTGGAATGATTATTTGTTTTAGAAGATTTCTCTCTAATCTCCCAGCAGTGATTTGCTGGATGCCCTTTTACTTACGATGTGATTTGCAAAATTGATTTACACGTACATTTGCAGGCACCTGTAAGTCGTGAGTCTAGGGCAGCTACAAATAGCATTTTGAGGTTTGGGCACTTAAATACTAAAGTCTTACTTTGGAATCGTAGGTTATGAATTATCCAGTTCCTTTGTTTCCTCATGCCAGGTTTACAAATGGGAAAGTTTATTTTTGTAGCAGACTGACAGCTTCTAAGCCAGGAATTTCGCCTGCATTGAGGAGTAAACACATAAAGACTTCAAATTTTGAAGACAATGCCATCTTTGTAATACGACGCTCCATTCTCACTCTCTAGTTTTCATTCAAATCAAGTTTAAAACCATCAAGATAAAAGCTTATTTTACTTGAGTTATAAAGACTCGTCAAGATGTTTTTCATTATGAAATCCACTCTAGTGGATTTGAGAATCAGAATGCGGAATTTTGGGTTTTTATCTTAGTTCGGAAAGTTTGTAAAATTTTTTGCAGATAGATTCTGGTTAGGGTTAAATCATGCAACCACAGTGAGGGTTTGTGACCAGGATTCTGAGCCACTGGATAAAAGTGAGACTTCACAGTGTATGGCCTGAATGTCTGCAGTGAATTGTTCCTTTCACAAACACTTTATTCGTAACTTAAAGTACTATGCCATTATAGGCACTACAGAGCTTCCAAATTATTTTAAAATTGTTCCTTCCTTTCTTGGCATACCATTTCTGCTGTGTTCAAAGTAGACTCCAGGTGTAGGCGGGAGGGCGAGAAACCCCATTAGATCTCCAGGGCTTTAGGCCCAGCCACCTGGGGGAAGACTCCCTTAACAGACAGCAAGGGCTTACCTGTCATATCACTGGCCAGATGAAATCTGCATAGGAGGCTTTGGCTCCATTTAGTCCAACTGTTGCCAAAACAACTAATCATTTAATTGAAATGCACAGTTCAGTTAAACAGACTGCGTGGCTGAAAGAGTGAGTTCAGGCCGGGCGTGGTGGCACACGCCTGTAATCCCAGCACTTTGGGAGGCCAAGGCGAGTGGATCATGAGGTCAGGAGTTCGAGACCAGCCTGACCAACATGGTGAAACCCTGTCTCTACCCAAAATACAAAAATTATCCAGGCATGGTGGTGTACATCCAGCTACTCAGGAAGCTGAGGCAGGAGAATCGCTCACTTGAACCCGGGAGGCAGAGGTTGCAGTGAGCTGAGATCATGCCACTGCGCTCCAGCCTGGATGACAGAGCAAGATGCCATCTCAAAAAAAAAAAAAAAGTGAGTTCAGTCAGTATGATTGACTGGCCTTTTAGACCGTCTAGAAGATTTTACCAACTGGAAATTTTCCAAGTGTTCTCTTCTTAGCATCCATTAAGCTTACAGTCGCTTCATCTCTTTAGATCGTGGAATAGTAGGAAAATATCTTTGATCTTGTACTTTTCTGCATTATTAATTCTCTATCACAGCTGGAAAATGCTTTTGTAAACATGTAAATAAATCCATTAGAAACATACCCTGATTTCCTGTTGTTTTAATGTCTTTAGACGCAGACGCAAATGCCGTGTGTGAAATTGTCCACGTCAAATCCGAGTCTGAAGGGAGGCCGGAGAGGGTCTTCCACTTGTGCTGCAGGTGAGCCTGGGCCTGTGAGTCGAGGCCGTGATGACAGTTCTGCAGATTGGAATGGTTTGGTGTCTTATGTTGTATTCTGGTGTTTGGTACATTGCTCGTACTGTAACATCGCTGAGATGCAGTAAACGGAGAGTCAGCTGGGAGGAGGTGACAGCGTGTGAAGGTGTCATTGGGATTCCTGATGATTTGGAGCACATAGGGAGGTCGCCCTGTGTTGATCACCTGCACGTCTTGAGGGGAAGCTGGGCTCATGTGGGCTTCTACTTATTTGTTGTTGTTTTTCTTCTACCCTGCCACCCTCTTTCTTTCCTTCCTTCTCTCCTCTCCCTCCCCCATGAGAATTTGAGGTCTTCCCGCATATGCAACCATTTGTTTTTCTAAAAATATAAGATGGATGACCCCAACAGATGGCATTTAATATATTTGACTTTAAATGTGCCCATATTGAATCATGCTTTAATTTAATCATAGACACTCAGTGATTTACTCAGTAAATTACCCAGTACCTCACACAGTGAGTACTAATATACTATGGATTATCTACAAAAGACGATAGAATCAATATTGTATGATTAGTAGCAATATTTTATAATGTTAGTATGGTAAGAAGGTACCTTTACCAAGCATAAACTTTGCTGAACACCTTACAGTCATTATTTCGGTTAGTCAGACCAGGGTATTAGGTTGGTATAAAAAGAAACTGCAGTTTTTACCATTAAAAGTAATTAAAAGTGCCATTAATTTTAATGGAAAAAACTGCAATTATTTTTTGCACCAGCCTAGTACTATTCTTACTCCAATTTACAAATGGGGAAGCAAGGCTTAGAGATGGTACTTTGCCTAAGGCCTCAGAGAAAATGAATGCTGGTGCCGGGCATGTGGCTCACACCTGTAATCCCAGCAAGGCAGGCGGATCACTTGAGGTCAGGAGTTTGAGGCCAGCCTGGCCAACATGCTGAAACCCTGTCTCCACTAAAAATACAAAAATTAGCCAGGCGTGGTGGCAGGTGCCTGTAATCACAGCTACTTGGGAGGCCGAGGCAGGAGAATCTCTTGAACCTGGGAGGTGGAAGTTGCAGTGAGCCAAGATCATACCACTCGCCTGGGTGCGAGACTCTGTCTCAAAAAAAGAAACAAAAAGAAAATGAATGGTGGGTTTAACCTCAAAACCCATGTTTTGTGTTGCTACATCAGATCTGTCTGTGTTGGGTGACAGAGGTCAACAAAGGGCAGATCCCCGGAAAGCTGTCAGGACTACAAGTGAAATGTTGTTTGTATAACCCCATGGGGTTTGAGCACCACCTTTACTGTCTGTTTTGGCTCATCTGTTTGTGATTTTGTTGGTAAGGTCCGTGGAGTTTAGTAAGCCTACTTACACGGATGCCGTATGTATTGTTAATAAGGAATACCAGATGAAACTTACCTGGATAAAAATATTGGGAATATAACAAGAAAAATAACTCTCACCTAGGAAGCACTTTCTTTTTTTTTTTTTTTTTTTTTTTAAAACCATGGGAATTGGGACTTGGGAAGATTTGATAGTTCTTTACAGCCTTAATATATACATGTTGAAATGTGTCATGGGAATCGTTGATATTTACCAGGAGGGAGCTCAGCTCTAGAGGACAGTAGGAACGTTGAGACATCAGCCTTTGGGTGCTCTGCAGAGCTGCAAGAATCTTGTGGTTCATTTGCCCTCAAAAACATTTTACAATGAAAAGCTCTGCCTTAAGTGCCAGGAGCAGAATTTGGCAGCTTCGTGGTACAAACTCCCACTGTCCGTAGATCTGTTCGTTAATGGGCTGCTCTGCCCCACATCGGTGGCAAGAGATGGATCACAAAGCATGAAGGGAAAAGAATTATGTGCTCTTTCTCCCTGGCTGTAAAATCACCACTCAGCATAGAAATTGGAGTCAAGGCCTCAGTCTTCAGCCTTTGGCCCTAAGGGTTATTTGTTTGGTTGCACCTGATAACCTTAGAAGTTCCCCATGTGTTAAGCCCTGGTTCTCTAACATCTGTAAATCTTTTCCTAGCTCCCCGGAGAGCCGAAAGGATTTCCTGAAGGCCGTGCATTCAATCCTGCGCGATAAGCACAGAAGACAGCTCCTCAAAACCGAGAGCCTTCCCTCATCCCAGCAATATGTCCCTTTTGGAGGGAAAAGATTGTGTGCACTGAAGGGGGCCAGGCCGGCCATGAGCAGGGCAGGTACTGTGGGGATTCAGACGTTCAAGATTCCCGTCACCCCCACTCCGCAGTAGAACTCCAGTGAGCTTGACCTCCTTGTTGAGTGGGGGTGAGGTGTGGCCTGGTGGGGACTGATGTAGGAGGACGGTTCTTCCCTGGTGTGAGGTTCCTTGCCCTTGCCTCCTTCCTGGTGGCTCCTGGGGATCCGTCCTATATCTACATTCCTCTTGTCCTCCCTCAAGCCTTCCCTTTGCCTCCCTTCTCCTTTTGGCTGGTGAGCTCCTCTCTCATTTGCCAAGCCGGGATGCAGACACATCCTCTTTCTGGAGAGGCTGTCTCCGCCTGCTTGCAGAATGAGAGTCGCTGCTTTGCATGACAGCCAGCTTTGTCTAGCAGAAAGCCGTGTGTCACATTTCAGCAAGGTCACAGCCCTCTGTTCTGAGAACATGGTGGCTTCACGGTCTGGCAGCACAGCAATGCCTGCTCTGAGTAGTAAGGGTTCTAGGTTTAGTAGCCCACATGACACTTCCAGTTTTTATCCTGGCCTTGTGCCTGCAGCTTTATTTTTAGTCTCCATGTTAATTTGGGGAAGCCTCGAACTATTCTTGGAAACAAGAATCTAGAGTTTAAATGGCCCTAGCATAAATATTCTTGTAGGACTTAATCCATTACGGTGGAGCAGTGGAGAAGTAAAATAAATACGACCACCCGTTAATGGTAGCAAAATTTGTCTAGGGATAAAGCTGTTTTCATACTTAGGGACTTAATGACATCAAGATACTAACATTTTTATCAAAACTTTCTTAACAGGCAGCCTAGAATTTTGCAGGGAGGAGGATTTCATTAAAAGAGGCCCCCTTTGCACTTGCCAGAAAAGTGTCTGGCCTTTGTCCCCATTACCATTCTACCTGTTGAAGAGGCATGGACAGAAGTATGAACGCCTGAAGGTTTTCATAGACAAAACCTCCCTGGCTTGACATGGGATATTACGTTCTTTAAGAACCTTAAATTTGGCCGGGCGCGGTGGCTCAAGCCTGTAATCCCAGCACTTTGGGAGGCCGAGACGGGCGGATCACGAGGTCAGGAGATCGAGACCATCCTGGCTAACACGGTGAAACCCCGTCTCTACTAAAAAAATACAAAAAACTAGCCGGGCAAGGTGGCGGCGCCTGTAATCCCAGCTACTCGGGAGGCTGAGGCAGGAGAATGGCGTAAACCCGGGAGGCGGAGCTTGCAGTGAGCTGAGATCTGGCCACTGCACTCCAGCCTGGGCGACAGAGCGAGACTCCGTCTCAAAAAAAAAGAAAAAGAACCTTAAATTTAACTAATGTTCGGGGACTAGTTAGTGTAAACCTCTTCTCCAATCAGTTGATAAGTGTTTATTGAAAGCTTAGTGCAGTGAACACCCAACACTTTTTTAAGTTTTCTGAGGTATCCTAAGAGTCTTGTATACCTCCATATGCACAGTTTCTCATGGGGTCCCCATGGAAGAATAGTTTATTGGTCCTTTATAACTCACTTAAGAGATTTTTATCTTGGATTTGTCTTATCTGCCCTTCTTGTTTGCTAGGGAAATGTTTAAAAAGGTTTGGAAATACGTGTCTCAACCTCAGGGAACTCACCTGTTTCAGTTGTTAATCAATGAACCTAAATTCAGGGCTGCATTTACTTTGAAACTAAGCATGGTTAGTCTGTCACTCAGTTTTTGGGCTGAGATGCATGTGGAAAGAAAACAAAACCAGCCACAATTTAACACCATCATCCATCATGATTACCAAGAGAAAGCCTTGATGTCATAGCCTTTGGATTTAGCTGATTGAGAGATTTTTCTGCCTGACGGCTCATTTTTGGCTGAAGAAAGTCTGTATCACTTTGCTTCGGAGGCATCTCACTATCCTCAGAATCTTCATGTTAGAGGAGTTTAAAATGGTGCCTGAGTAGAACAGCACAGCAATACCCGGCAGTCTTAACAGTGAACACTGGAAATAGTCAAAGATTGCATCCCTAAAAGACTGGGAAGAACCCAGTAATGGTAGCCGGGTTCCTAAGCATACTAGGAACAGATACTCATGCTTCATTTTGCTTTGTCCTGAATACCCAGCTAGTTTATTTCTCCCTCTGTTCTGTTTGGCTAGGATAGTAAAGCCAAATACTCTGCTTCCGTATTAAGCCGAAAGTGCTATATACATCTGCCAATAACTGAATTAAAAGATTTTTTTCTTTGTTCTACTTTCTAAGAAAATTTTCAAACTTATAGAAGAGCTGAAAGAATTCCCACCTACCATGTATATTCTGTATTTTTCTATCTTCTCATTATCACTCATCTATTAGAATCCATCTATCATTCGTCACCTCATCTTATTTTTGACACATTTCAAAGATGTAGACATTAACACACTTTACCCCTAGATACTTCAGCATGCAAATCATGAACAGATATTTCCAGTAGCTTTGAGCTGAGGTAGTTCTAATGTAGTGATTGGAGAGAGGGATGCTGTATTTTGCTGGTGCGGAGATAAAAGTGAACAAGAATTTTTGTCTCTTCTCAATAGAAGTCGGGGTTTTTTTGTTTGTTTCTTTTTTCTCCTCTTTTCTATTCCCTTTTTCCATTTTGCCTGGAAATGGCTTTTATTCCCATCCTCAACCAACAGTAGTGTCCATTTGTTCCACGGTTTTAGATGGTAGAACTCTCAGGAATAGTGATGGACACACAGGGGTCTGAGGCAGAGCCTGGCTGCAGTGGGAGCCAATTCAGCTCCTCGTTGACGTCTCTAACCTTGCGCCTGCTGCGTTTGAAGTCAAGGCTGCGTTTGGCAGTAACTGAGACACGAGGCATCTTCTAGTAGCACGGAAGCAATTAGATGGTTTCTGGGGCTTTGGTTTCAGGAAAGCAGCTCCCAGTTGACTTTGAGACTCTTCCCCTCCACTGGAAAGCCCGTGTTGCATTTCACCTTTTCGTGTCTAATGCAACAGCCGCTTCACTCTCGAGGGAGAAGCAGCGGCCTTCCCTGTGAACAGTCTCGCATAGGCGTGTGGTGGGATTGTTGGCTTGATTGGATGGTGTCTTTTGTTTGCTTGTTTTTAATTCTGGCTTCCTAGAGGGCAGTAGGTGAAAGAATGAAGTTTTCGTAACTGGTAGTCACTTTATACAGCACTTTGTTGATCAGACTGCTTGCGTATCATCGGTTTTTTATTTCTCATTCCACTGAGGCACTGATACGTTAATTGCTTTGTAGAAGAGTGAGCGATGCACAGACTGTAATTGGGGGAGACTAAGGCTCACGTTTGCTTAGCCTTCTACCGGACGTGGGACTTTGTCAGAAAGAAGACAGGGAAATAACTGAAGATTCCATGTCTTTGAGAGCCACTCTCTTTTCATAGGCTCTCTAAGAGGGATGTGGTGCCGTTAATCTAACTGCAGATCCCAAGAAATGTTACGTTCAAGTTCCCAGAAAACAAGTAACTTAGACCGGTGCTTCTGCCTCCTTGATGCGTTTTCTACAAAGACAGCAAAACCAGAGAGGCACCCCCACCCTTACTAAGAACCTATTCCAGCTAAACAACCCTGGGACAGCGCTGGGGATCTTCATAGCACTGGACCATGGGACATGACCAGGATTGAGGACACTAACTCACTAACTCATCCCCAAATCAGTGGTCTGTCTACTTGAGAGCAGCTGTAGTCTATGTTACCCATCTCTTAGGTGCACGGGTTAGAATAGTAGATTATTTCCCAGGGAGTTGAGTGCCCCTTTGCCCATAACCTACAACCTCTGCTGTGTGCCCCAGTTCCCCCTTGCCCGTCCATCAGTTGCTAGAACATCTTCTAAGTCCAGATACCTCGACAAGGTAAATGCTCCGAGACAGACTGGTGATATCTAGACTGTAAGCCCCAAAAGACATCAAGGCGTTCAGTGCATACCATTTCGGTTTTTATTTTCTCCTGTCCTTTGCTTTCTGGATTTTCATCTCACGTAAAGCATGTGGGGCTTTTATTTTTATATTTTTGTGTGTGTGTGCAGTGTCTGCCCCAAGCAAGTCTCTTGGGAGGAGGAGGCGGCGGCTGGCTCGAAACAGGTTTACCATTGATTCTGATGCCGTCTCCGCAAGCAGCCCGGAGAAAGAGTCCCAGCAGCCCCCCGGTGGTGGGGACACTGACCGATGGGTAGAGGAGCAGTTTGATCTTGCTCAGTATGAGGAGCAAGATGACATCAAGGAGACAGACATCCTCAGTGACGATGATGAGTTCTGTGAGTCCGTGAAGGGCGCCTCAGTCGACAGAGACCTGCAGGAGCGGCTTCAGGCTGCCTCCATCAGTCAGCGGGAAAGAGGCCGGAAAACCCTGGATAGTCACGCGTCCCGCATGGCGCAGCTCAAGAAGCAAGCTGCCCTGTCGGGGATCAATGGAGGCCTGGAGAGCGCAAGCGAGGAAGTCATTTGGGTTAGGCGCGAAGACTTTGCCCCCTCCAGGAAACTGAACACTGAGATCTGACTGTGTCACCTGCCCCGTAGAGAATGTGTGTAGATACTTCCTGCCCTAACTCTGCCCACCCTCCTGTACCGTCGACAAGAATGTCCCCTTAGGCCGCGCTCTTGCACACACGGTTTTGGCAGCTGACTTGGTTCTGAAGCCATGTAGCCACCCAACTTTGTCATTTTCAACGACATCAGAAATAATTCCTCAGAATCCCAAATAAGCTTGAGTCCTATCTTCTGTATATTACTAAGGGCTTTTATTTATTCTCAGTTAATCAGGGCCTGAACAATTAAAAGAAAAAAGATTCTATAGCACTGGAAAGCAGATCACCCCCAGGAGTTAACAGATGTACAGCAGATTAATTTAAGGGATAGTAGCACACACACGATCCTTCTATCTGAAATCAGTCCCTAGTTGGGAAACCTCTTTCAAACACAAAATGAAATGAAATGTGTACAGCTTGCAGTGTTCTGACTGTACCCTTCCCTCTTCCATGTCTCAGAATCTCTGTGTATTTTAAGAATGTGTGAGGAGAGGGTGGCAATTCATGTTTCAATGAGCCTTTTTTTTCCCTTCCTGTTTTGGTCTATAGCTGGTCTTACTCTGTGTCCATGTTCGGAAGCTCTAGTTTTGCATAGAATTATAGAGATGCCAAACTCTTTGAAAAGAGATCCAAATTTATCGCTTGAGAGAAAGAAGAAACACTATTTTTTGTATTTTACCTGAGATACAGGGGCACAAATAGATGAGGATTTTACAGTGTTAGTGTAACCCTGAGCCTAAAAAATGAGGATATAACCTTTTACAGAGAGAGTGAGGTGTGGTGGTTTTATATTTATACATGAAAGGCCAACAAGCTCATGCTAAGGATAGACTTTTCTTCCAAGAAGCGGATTTTTTTTTTTCTTTTTAATGTTTGAATCTGTATTTGAGCTGGGAGTTTGGTTGGATTAAACATGACACCCAGGTGGGCGGGGGTGTGTGTCTGTTGCACATGGCAGGGAGGGGAGCCTCCTTCTCATGGGGTTGCCATGGTGATCATTGGTTTTTCCATTAAAATTGCATCTTCATCCATAGATTACCTTCCCCTTCCCTGACAGTTCATAACCAAACCTTTAAACAGAACAGCCTCTTTAAAAACTTCTCTTGTGTTGAACACTTTCTTCATGCCAACGAAACAGGGTAAACACGCTCAACACATTAATGGTCTAAACAGATATCCAAATACTAAGAAGAAAAACAAGTTATAGCACTTTCAATTTTTTTTTTTTAAAAAAAAAAGGTTTATAGCTTTTTCTTTTCCCATGTCACAATGTCCACTTCCTAAGAAGGGTTTAAAATACTATGAAAACTTTCTTTTTGGGGAAAATATCTATTTGGTGTTTGACACATCAGTAGGTACTTTAGACCTGGATTTTATAGTAGCTTTAGGAGTTATATTTTATAAAAATTAGTTATGACTTTATATTTCCAGACAATAGAGAGTTCAGTACATCATGCTCTTGTGCCTCTGCCTGCTTTTCCTGCGTTCCCACCCTGTATCCCCGTCCCCCCGCCTTTCGGGTTTCCAGGGCTTCGAGCTTGATCTTTTGAAAGTTTTATTCTATTAAATTTTTGCTATATCTTCTGGTTTTCTTAAAAAGCTTTAGAATGGTTTCTATACCCTTTGTACCACTGCATTTTTCCATATCATCTCCGGTTCGATCGCGTCCAGATGGAAAACGGAAGCAGAGGCTTCTAATCGTCGCATTTACTGGTTCCAGTGCAACACATCCATCTGAAAACACTCGGAAGTCTGGTGCTTGGAGAGGGTGCCATTGTCTCTTGTACATAAGGTCATGATGTGTCTATGTCAAAAGTTCTTATATATTTCTTTTATAAGCTGAAAGAAGGTCTATTTTTATGTTTTTAGGTCTATGAATGGAACGTTGTCAATGCTTGTCAAACAATAAAAATACTGAAAAGTGTCTGGGCGGTTCTGTGCCTTTTTGGATGGGAGGATGAGTACGAATTGTTGGCGGGAGAGAGGCCGTGGGAGAAGATTCCTGGGAATGCCGTTCGTTGAAGTAACTCGTGATCATCAGGAGGACGCTGTTGTGGTAGTGCTTGAAGCTTTAACAGGAAAACAGGTGCATTACAGTTGCTTGGCAGCTTGACCTAACGTTACCCTACTGGGTACTGTTTCTTTTGCAGTCTCCTGCCTATCCCACTGGGAGCAGGCTGGGGGATTCCCATGAAAATAGTGGGGTGAAGTGCAGAGCTCCGACCGGCCTGACTGAGCTCTTGAATCACTCCACATGTTATCACCGGGGATCCGCTGCCTGAGCCTTTCACAGAATCACAAAACAAGGTACATAGTGTCTTGGGCTGCCTCTCTCTTCCCGTCAGAGTCCCCAGATCAGACCCTCCTGAGTCCCTTACAAACCTTACCCGTCAGCGTTACCCCATCCGTCCCTGCCCTCAGTGAAAACATTGTCTCCTGTCTCTAGAACAGCCTCTCCCTGGCGCATGGCGGGCCCTGTGGTGTAGCTACTTGCTCCTTGCGGTGGAGGTCCTGACACCAGCAGCGTCGTCATGTCGCTGGGGGCTTGTTGGAAGTGCAAAAAACTGGGAGGCAGGAGGAGCACTTGAGGCTAGATGTTCGAGACCAGCCTGGGCAACATAGTGAGACCCCATCTTTATGAAAAATAAAAGACTTCGCTAGTCGTTGTGGTTCACACCTTTAGTCCCAGCTACTCAGGAGGCTGAGGTGGGAGGATTGCTTGAGCTCAGGAATTTGAGGCTTGCACTGAACTGTGATCACACTATTGCACTCCAGCCTGGGTAGCAGAGAGAGACCCTGTCTCAGAAAAGAAAAATGCAGAAACTTGGGCCCCACCCAGAGGCACTAAACCAGAACTTCCATCTTAACGGGATCCTCTGATGACTCATCCACGTTCATGTTTGAGTCACATTCATTTGGTGGCTTCCAAACATTTTGATGTTGAGCAGTGATTTGGAGCACATTCCTCTTTCTTGTAAATATATTCAGGCATTACAGCAACAATATGTACATCTGTAAGACACAAGATTTCTTTCTGTAGCCAATGCATCCGTCTTGGGGGATGACTGAAGCCAGCTTTAACACCTGCTCCATGAAGTTCTTCCAGCAGTTAGAACTCTGGTGTAAATGAGATTTAGCAGTTTGGGCTGCTTTCCTCACCAATAGCTGAGCCTATGTGTGCGGAGGAAATGAGTGCTCAAAGTCGACTATAGAGGAATAATCATACCTCTTTCTCCACTAGTTTCGTTTATTTTCAGGCTCATCTCCCACCAGGCTGGTAGAAAACATCCTCAGTTTTCCTCTCCCTTTCTGTTCGTGACGTTCAGGGGCGGGGAGCTCCCTTCTGCAAAAATAACTGTAGCAGTGACCAGCGTGCTCATCCATCCACGGGCTCCTTCACGCGTGATGGTGGGCTCTCTAGTGTATCCTTCTGCTCACCCAGGACACGTCTGCAGCCTGGTCCCCGGCATTCTGTCTCCTCTCTGGGACGTTGCCAGGATGCTTTGCCCAAGTTCTGGTCCGTCCTCTTCCACAGCTCTCCTGCCTGTATCCCCAGCCAGGGGCTAGTACTGTTTGTGTTTGTTTATTTGTTTGTTTGAGAGGGAGTCTCGCACTGTCGCCCAGGGTGAAGTGCAGTGGCATGATCTCGGCTCACTGCAACCTCCGCCTCCCAGATTCAAGGGATTCTCCTGCCTCAACCTCTTGAGTAGCTAGGATAACAGGCGCCCGCCACCATGCCCAGCCAATTTTGTTTTGTATTTTTAGTAGAGACAGGGTTTCACTGTGTTGGTCAGGCTGGTCTCGAACGCCTGACCTTGTGATCCACCCACCTCGGCCTCCCAGAGTGCTGGGATTACAGGCACGAGCCATCGTGCCCTGCTGGCTATTGCCTTTTCTGTGTGTGGGTGCTTACGGGGATGAGGACAGAGAAGCTGGGTTGCAGCGGGGAGCCCTTGTGTTTTTTTGCAAGCTTGTTGATACCCAAGTTTTACAGGCAATTCTGCTTTTTGGCGCAAACCTATTCCAGGATAGGGAACCTCTGTGACAGTTGCCTTAGAAGGGAGGTGCTGAGCAGGTTGTGGGGAAGTTGTGCAAATACAAGGAGAGAAAGAAATAGTCAAAATATTCAGCCACTTACATAGAGAATGTGTGAGATCAAAATTGCAGTGTCGATGGCCGGGTGCAGTGGCTCGTGCCTGTAATCCCAGCACTTCGGGGGGCCGAGGTGGGTGGATCACTTGAGGTCAGGAGTTCGAGATCAGCCTGGCCAACGTGGTGAAATCCCATCTTGACTAAAAAGACAAAAGTTAGTCGGGCGTGGTGGCACACATCTGTAATTCCGGCAACTTGGGAGGCTGAGGCAGGAGAATCGCTTGAACCCGGGACGTGGGACTGCGGTGAGCTGAGACTGCCGCACTGCACTCCAGTGTCCTATCACTCCTCAACTCCAGCAGATAGGACAGTGGTAATGGCTCCAGGAACACTCCAGCCTGGGTGACAGAGTGAGACTCCATCTGAAAAAAAAAAAAAAAATGCAGTGTCACAGTCCCCCTAGGCTTCTCTAAAGGAAGTCGTTGGAAGAAGGAAAAAGGAATACTCAGAACAGAAATCATGAATGTGTAAGGCCTCTGTAAACACATGGAGTATGGATACTGTTGGCAAGATACTGCCGTCTGCTGAACTGTGTAGGAGTAGAAACCCTCCCAGGTCGTGTTCCTGGGATCGCCTTGTTTCCAGTCTTCTGCCTGTCATATGCCTCCCCACCCCCACCATATACCAACAGAATGCATTCTGTAGAAACCCTCATTCATCAACAATGGAGTTTATTCTGGTCTATTCTTTCTACATCATGAAGCAACCTTTAGCCTATACATTCTGCTGTTTTAGTAAGTCAATTTCTACTGTCACTGAGTCCACCACCTCGACCATGTTCCTGAGTGAGATGTGACTCATGCACATCTTCATGTCACTGCTGTCAAACTGGGCTGATGGCTTCTAACTTGTGTGCAGTGGATCCTCTGCTGTTGTCTAGTCACTTGGGATCTCCCTCTCTCTCTCTCTCTCTCTCTCTCTCTGTCTCTCTTTCTTCTCACTCTGTTGCCCAGGTTGGAGTGCAGTGCTGCGATCTCGGCTCACTGCAACCTCCGCCTCCCAGGTTCAAGCAGTTCTACCTGCCTCAGCCTCCCAAGTAGCTAGGATCACATGCCCGGCTAATTTTTGTATATTTTGATAGAGACAGGGTTTCACCATGTTGGCCAGGCTGGTCTCGAACCCTTGACCTCAGGTGATCCACCCACCTTGGCCTCCCAAAGTGCTGTGATTACAGGCCGTCCCTTGGGATTAAAAATGACAAGGGATTGGCTGGGTGCAGTGGCTCATGCGTGTAATCCTAGTACTTTGGGAGGCTGAGGCAGGTGGATCACAAGGTCAGGAGTTCAAGACCAGCTTGGCCAAGATGGTGGAACCCTGTCTCTACTAAAAATACAAAAATTAGCCGGGCATGATGGCACTTGCCTATAATCCCAACTACTCAGGAGGCTGAGGCAGAGAATTGCTTGAACCTGGAGGCGGAGGTTGCAGTGAGCCGAGATCGCGCCACTGCACTTCAGCCTGGGCGACAGAGTGAGACTCCGTCTCAAAAAAAAGAAAAAAGACAAGGGATTTAGACTATATGTGCACGCCTTGCACTTTCTGTACAGTCAACTACCCTCAAGTCAGGGAGGTGTGACACTTTTTTAAAAAACGCAAATCCAGGGTCCCTAATATTTTTTTAAAAATTCAGGAATCACATAATGCTTCAGAATTTCTTTTTCCTTGTTCTTCAACATACTTCATACCCAGGTCAAGCCAAAGTTAGATTTTTTTAGTCCGTGAGGCCCTGGTGGGATTGCTTTCACCTTTCTGGGCACCAGCTTCATCCTTTTTGACTTCAATACTTAGTTTCTTTTCTTGAACACCACCCGGGGCTTCCTGGGCTGCTCCCAAGAACGATTTGGTTACAGGATGTCCTGTGTTCTGTTCTACTCAGCTCTGTGCTTGTGTGTTCTGCCTGGTGACGTTACCTTGTATTTTAAACATTAATGGTTGGTTAATTATAGGCCCCTCACTTTCAATCAAGACGGTAACATTTGATTGTCCTTGATGGGTTTGTTGAATACAGGCATGGGTTGTGCATGCATACACACACTTAAAAATGAGTTTATATTTTGTTAACATACTGTTTTGTTAACCTAATTTTTACTCTTAATGATACAAGTTGTAGACATTTTCATGACATTCTATAAAGGTCTGCATCACTGTAAGACATGGTCACATCCATCATAATGGTCATAGTTCACCGTAATTTACATAACCAATTCCCACTTTACATAACCAATAACCAATGGGCATTAAGGATTCCAGGGGTTTTGTTATTAAGAAAACACGATGAACACCTGTATTGGATGTTTCTGTGCATTGGTCCAGTTGCTTCCTGAGGGAATACTGAAGAGGTAGCTTTGCGTACCTTTTATACATTTTAAATCCTGATGGCCATTTCTAAATTCTAGGATGCTGTATTCCTGTTTGTCTTCTGGTGAGATGTCAAGATCTACTTCCTGTCTAATGTCTCCACTTTGTCACAGAAATGGCTTTTCCACCTGAGTTTGCATTTCGATTATTTTGGCCGGTTATGCTTGGTGGGCTGGACCTTCTCCCACTCCTGTCCTCCTTTCTCTGTTCACACTCAGTTTTTTGTTTTGTTTTGTTTTGAGATGGAGTCTCGCTCTGTAACCAGGCTGGAGTGCAATGACGCAATCTCGGCTCACTGCAACCTCTGCCACCTGGGTTCAAGCAATTCCCCTGCCTCAGCCTCCTGAGTAGCTGGGACTACAGGTGTGTGCCACCAGTCCCAGCTAATTTTTTTGTATTTTAGTAGAGATGGGTTT